TATTGGTGTGTAACAGAAATAGTTTTGGAACTGAAACCCATCATTTTCGTCATCATTCTTCGCCGCCGTTGGATCGATTTTCAAATACTACTAAGCTTTTTCGTCCTTGGTGTAGTAGTAACCTTGTATAAAAGAATCTATCCGAACCGTATTTTACAAGTTATAGACGGGCTAAGGATTTGCTGACAGACCGACAGGGGGACCGAGGGAAATGAGTGATATGGTTTTTCGTGATGCAGATGACATTCTACACCCAAAAACATAGTATCTCATTTTCTACATTTTTAGCGACTAGAATACTTCCTCGTTAGTAGGCGTGGAAAGTAAAAAAGAGGTTAAGTGCAAAAACCGGTCAACTCCAGGGAGAAAGAAGGGAAGAAGAAAGGAAGGAAGGAGGGAGGGCAAAGAAAAAAGAAGTGCATCAATTTGAGGGGTGCCTTGGCATTGCTAGTTAGTATTCAGCAATTTTAAATTGATCCTAAAATTAATTTTGGGTTTGGTTTTTGAAGAAAAATTATAATTTTGGTAGGACCTGAAGTCGCACGATTAAATTTTGTTCACAGTGCGTGTCGCGGCCTTGTGTGCTTGCGAACTTGCTCGACTGTGTAGTCTACTGACTCGCGCAACAAAGGGTTGTTATGCGATTCTGCTTGACTGTAACGTAGCTGCGCTTGTTGTTTGATGTAGTCCCTTAGGTAAGGGATGTCAAGGTCTCTGTGAAGGGTAACGTTGGAAACATACCATGGGGCGTTAGTGATTGTACGCAAGGTTCTGTTCTGCAAAACCTGCAGGCTACGCAAATGCGTTTTGGCGAGAAAACACCAAGCAGCACTTGCGTAAGTGATCGCTGGTCTAATAACCATCTTGTATAGCCGAACTTTGTTGATCAAACTTAATTTTGATGTTCTACATAGCATAGGGTAGAGTTGCCGGAACGAGATTTGGAATTTAGTTTTTAACGCTTCAGTGTGCTTCTGCCAGGTTATCCCCTTGTCAAGAGTGACACCGAGATACTTAGCAGAGCTTTCCCATGGTATCCGAGCTCCATTCACTGAAACCTCAGACGGGGCGCCGCTACGTTTTTTAGTACAATAGATTGCCTGCGTTTTCGAATGATTAATTTTGATCAGCCACCGATTCGCCCAATCCAATACCTCGTCCACTGCACTTTGCAGCCTGTCATGAAGTATATCCCCGGAGCACGACTGGGCCACCAGGGCAGTTCATCAGCATAGAGATAGGTTTCACAGCTGCTGGGGCAAGGGACGTCATGAATAAAAAGTGAATAAAAGACTGGTCCAAGAACCGAACCCCGAGGGACACCGGCTTTGATAGGCCATGTTGTCGACAGAACGTTATTAATTTTGATCCGAAATTTCCTACCCTCGAGAAAGGATTTCAAAAGTTTTAGGAGCCAGAAGGGGAAGCCTCTATGTAGAGAAGGCCCTTGTGCCACACCTTGTCAAATGCCTTTGAGACATCCAGTAGCAAGATGCCAGTACTTTCGTTACGGGTGAACCCGCTGGTTACTCGTTCAACAAGCCTTATGGCTTGTAGCTCCGTACTATGTTCAGACCGAAAGCCAAATTGCACGTCAGGAATCACATTGTGGTCTGCCGAGAAATTTTCAATGTGTCGTAGAATCACCTTTTCAGCGAGCTTAGAAGGAGCTGACAGTAGACTAATGGGGCGGTAATCCCGTCACTTAAATTGATTATCGAGGAGAAAATCATTTACCCACCTGCAAAAGCTCTATTTGTGGCTGTAGAACGGAAGTTTGTATAGGAGAGCAGTATGCCACAGCTAGTCGAAATGATTTCCTTGTGCCTATTTATAAGAAAGATTTGAAGTCACGGCCTAATTGAGATTTTCGAAATCCGTCAAGTCAACATGTTACACACCACTTGTTACTAACCTTTGACTATGAATACGAACTGCCGTTAGGGTGTGTTTACGTCAACATCGTTAAAAACTTATTTCCCTAAATATACCTATTTCCAGAATGATGCATACAACAGCCTTTGTAATGAGCAAGCGCGGCGGCTAAGTTGAATATTAATGATTTAAAGTTGTAGGTTTACCCATTAGTAAAACTACTCTTGGATAGTAATGACCCGTTAAAATGCAAATCTCCGATTACCGGCTCCGTATCGTCTAGTGTTCGTACGTGTATCCGACGTGTTTGCTCGACGTGCTAATAGCAACAGTTTACGGCTGCATCTTATTTGCATTCCAGTATTATTATTCTGGCAACCCTATGTGATTAATGGTATAGGCCTTTGACTGGGGAATTGTACTAATATACCATTACTGTATACGAAACACAAATGAGTTAGCCAAGTTACGCAATAACTTGGTCACATTTACCGCCGGTAACACAGAATAGGTCTTTACCAGAAGCATAGTATACAGGGTGATTTACAAATCGTGAAGAAAAATGAAACATACACAGGACCACATTTTAAGAGGGGTCTTCTATCTAGCATTTTTTCCTCGAGGGCTTCATTAAAAAGATAGATGAAGTTCAAAAGTAAAAAACATTTCTTTAATATCTTCAAAACCGTCAACTGGAATGAACCAGGCAGCAGCGGTGGCCGCAGTAGTAGACTCTTCGCTCTCCTGATCAATCACCGTGCGCTGTTCGAGTTCGAATCCCGTCCCAAGAGAAAATTTTCTCTTGGCTATAGATGTTATGATTGTCCGTAGGTGGTAGACGGTCTGTGACTGTCCAACGCAGAGGTACCACCTGGCGGATTGCGTAGGCGGAGCCAGAATGTGTGCATGCACACGTGCTCCCTCGCCAGAGTCCGTGTGGCGTTCCTCCTTTCCCCTGCATCTCCCTATAGCCCCACGGTACCTCATGGGTGTTTAGGTCTTAGGCCCTCGTGGTAGTTGGAGTATAAAAAAATAAAAATAAAATAGGAGGCCCTGATACCAACTTGACGTTTCTTGGGAGATAGTTTTTCAAGGTTATGTGTTATACGGTTGTTATCGTTACTACTACCATTTGTTTTTTGTAAAAGTCAAGTCAAAAGTTTCTTTTCCCATTGTTGAGTGTTGTGAAATGGAATTTAGCAATGATGAGTACGACGATATTATTTTGTGTACGGGTTCTGTAATGGAAATCCTTTGGCGGCTTCTCGGGAGTATCAACGTAGATTTCCTAACAGACTCCAGCCTACTCCAAAAGTTTTTATTAATTTGTGTTTTTTTTATTTTAACGAAAACCGTAGACTTAGGAAAAAACACAAGAGTAATTATTTGTAGTAAATTGAAGGTAAAATTCGAAAAATTGCGCGAAAAAAAACAGTTTCGTACTATTTTGATTTGGAAAAATAATGCCACTAATCTCCTGTATCTTCACCAGTGGTGCACGTTAATTTTAAGTAAATACTTTTGAATGTGGACAATACTTAAATAAATCCATATACCAAATTTTAGTTCATTCCAGTTGACGGTTTTGAAAATGTTTTTATTTTTAAACTTCAACACACCGAAGGCCTCGAAAATGTTACATAGAAACCCCCCTTAAAATGCGGTCCTGCGGTATGATGTTTCATTTTTGGTCACGACTTGTGGCAATTAGAATTACTCTGTTTAATATTTGTTGGACAAATGGATTTTACGCGCACGCATGGCAGCACATATTCTCAGCACATACGAGTAGAGCACCAATATTACCTGAGCTGTCGATGCACTCGCTTCGGCCAGAATAAACGTCAGACACATCGGTGCAGGCTCGGACTGTGTTTTCACCGCTGTTGGCTGCGTTGTTCTGTGCAATGTTCAGCATTAAAGTGTGTAATCATATCATAGCTCAAACAGGCTCTGTATGTTGACTGTTTTGAGTCAGAACAAGGGTCTTTAAATTAATTTGAGCAAAAAATCTACAAGACCTTCTATTCATATACGAGTTAATTAGACTGACAATGTAACGTTCGATTTCGCAGCACTGGAGGCTCCGGGCTTGGAGGGGGTACAGAGAACCATGTGTGCTATCAGGTTTTGCTTCAGACTTGGGCACAGTGCAACGAAAACTCTTACTAAACTTCAGCAGACCTACGCAGATAGTGTTTTGTCAAGAGTCCAAATTTTTCGGTGGTTTAAGGGATGTGCAGAAGGGAGAGAGTCGATTAAAGATGAACCACGAAGCGGAAGGCCTTCATCTTCAAGAACTGATGAAAGTATCGACAGAATTCAGGATCTTGTGCATTCAGATCGTGGGTTGACAAGCAGAATGATTGGGGAAGAGTTAAATTTGACTCAAACCACCATTCATCAGATCAAGAACAACTGGGTGTTGCACCACGATAATGTCAATAAACGAGCAAGTAAAAATATTCATGTGGCTCCTCAGCCTCCTATTCGCCCAACTTGAGTCCTTGTGACGATTTACCTCTTCCCGAAGTCGACAAGTCACCTCGAGGGAACTCATTTTGGGCCAATCGGAAACATTCAAATGGCTGTAACCGACCAGCTGAAAGCTATTCCAGTGTCGGAGTTCCAGCACTGCTATGAGGAGTGGAGGAAGCGTCTCCAGCGCTATGGAGCTTCAGAAGGAAGTTATTTTGAGGGTGACAATATAAAATTTTAATTATATTTGGATAGAATAATTAAGAAAAGAATTTCATCACATAGTAGTCCGGAATTTACTGATCGCATTATACAATACAATTTTGAAACAAAGCTACTGCTATGACAATGATAGAACACCTTAACGGAAGCCGCTAGGTCGCAGAGAGGCTTATAGTCCGCTAGATGGCAGCTCAATTATTAAACCTTGTATTTAACCATGACCCGTCCTGCACCCAACCCACTGATTTTCAAAACTCCGGTGCCAGTGATGGCGTCATAACGCGGCGTTCTGAAAATTTGAGATAACAAATTGTTATTGCCCAACATATCAACTGCTTGCGCTCCGGGCTTTAGCCAGGCTCGCCGGATATTATTCGAATGCTTCGAATGGGATAATTAAATGAACCTAGTCAATATTTCCACAGGGTTTATGCTGCGCTTGCCTATTTTGCTTTGCCAACCAAGATGTACATAGCGCAGTTAGAGGACTTTGGCATCGACGGTTCCGTAGAGCTGACAGCAGTCGAACAGGACCTGCTGCTGGAGGAGTTTGGGGAGGCGGAAGGTGGTCTGGTTATAGGTGAGTACTGCCGAATAATTCTGTTTTCCATTGCCTAAATAGAAATGAAGGAGGATGTGCAAAATGATAAATGTTCTATTTGTTTTTTTTATTGTTTGCAAAACACCGCTTTATATCGAAGATAGTAACAGTCGGATTTTACCATATATCCGCGGGAATCAAAATTTATTATCTCAAGGCATTTTTGAAGTAACGGATCTAACGAAAATGGTCTATTTCTTGTAAAATGTCCTAGAAACTGGAGAAAAAAATATATGGTTTGTGTAGCTCCCATATCAAATCAGGAAATAATCAAGAAGTCACCTGGTTTAGCTACAAAAACATATTTTTTCATTTGAGCCCGAAAACAAAATTTGCGGCTATGGCACAATCCTCACCAATCGAAAACAAGTTTCTTATCTGATTTGTAAACAAGTGACATATAAATCCGAACACCCAGTTTAAATGGTTTTATTTTAATAAAATTTTGTATAAGTACTTGATGAAGCATAATAAGTAAATGATAAAAATTTCAAAATGATTGCACTGCTTTAAAGCCCTTTGACCTTTAATAATGTGTGGATGCACCCTGATGTGCTACGCATTCTCCAACGCGCCTAGGCAGGCTTCTGATCAGGTGGTCAATGTCCTCCTGTGGTATCTCATTCCAGGCAACCACAAACTCCTCTCGAAGTGCTTCTAGAGTCTGAGGAGGACGTTGCAAATTGAGCAATCTCCTACCCATCATATCCCACACGTGCTCAATTGGGGATAAGTCGGGAGATCTTGGTGGCCATGGTAACAATGTGACATCATTATGTTGAAAGAAGTCTATTGTGACTCTTGCAACATGTTCTGCAAACCATTCATTTGCAATGGACCTGGTAGTGGAGAAACGGTCCCTTAAGGCCAATAATCTTAGGCGGCGACCTTCACGGTCTGTTGTTCTACGGCGGCGTCCAGTGCCCATTGCTCTTTGCGTACGGCCTTCTCGAAGCCATGCCTGACAACACCTAACCACAGTGTCTACACTTCTTTGCACTCTAACTGCAATTGCCCGAAAAGAAAGTCCAGCTTCCCGAAGCCCCACTATACGGCCCCTATCAAACTTACTAAGTTGACGAAATCGTACAGGTCTCCGTACTCTAGGCATCGTAACCGATCTTAAAGGATGTCAAGAACCAAAATCCGCCAACGTTGATTCTTTACTGCGGCTGAAATATTCATTTTTAGAGCGTTAGTGAATTAAAAAAAAAGCAGTATAAAAACCGGAATGTCCAACTGATAAGGTTGAAAATTTTTTCACTTGTTATTTACAGTAAGATAAATACATTCACCAACTTTTATTAAAATAAAACCATTTAAACTGGGTGTTCGGATTTATATGTCACTTAGTATATGTAAATTAAAAACAAACATAATTACCTGAGAAAACTGAGAAAATGATATATTGGTTATCAATTAAGTGAAGATTTCAACAATTCATCTTCCATTGTGAACATATCTTTCTCTTTCTGTTGAGAATAATAGGCAAAATGATGAAATAAATTGATCCGGCTGGCGCCCTCTACTGGACGGTACCCCGACTTCGAACTCAAACCGTATCGTGCCGTGACGACGAGGCTGCGCATGATCAGGGTTATATTTATCGTAAAACGAGGCACAAAAAGTTGTTTTCTCCGTAGATCCCCTGTATACAGGGTGTTCCATAATATGATATGCGAATATCTACATGAAAATTTAATGTTAGTTTGATCTATAAACTATGGTCCAAAAATGTTTCCTTGCAAAAACTCGGGTAAAAAATGGAAATTGATTAATATTTTCAGAACCGCTTCAGATATTTCACTGATATTTAGTACGTAGTGAAATATAATAATGGTGCATATTTTTCAATGCAAAAATAATTTTCAGCTTTAACAGTGGCGTGCGTACGGGTATTGACTTCGATATTTTTTAATAAAAAATGGTACGAAAATGGTTTTTTGCCAAATAAAAATTATTATTGAATTCCCCGTTCAATTAAAAACAAATGACCTCTTTTGAATTGTTTGCCTTCAATGCGCCATTTTGTGAGTAAAAAAATAAAAACCGTTCTATTGTCTAACTTGCAAAATTATTATTAATTTCTATTTTTTTTTTCCTAAAACTTCAACACCCCGAGTTTTTGTAGGGAAACATTTTTGGACCATAGTTTATAGAACAAACTAACATTAATTTTTCATGTAGATTCACACCCTTAAAAATTCGCATATCATTTAGGAACACCTTGTATATATTGTATATACAGATATATTAACTTACAAATAAGTATCGCCAGGACACACAGTGTACAGGCCATAGCGGGAAACTAGTTTATACCTACAAACTGCGTTATACAGCCACTCAATAACTAACATTTTTTCAGAATTATCTCTTTCACGTGAGTATTGTCAGTGTTGTTTTCAATGAAATGCTCAGAAATTGCTGTAGTGATAGCGGCAAACTTTATGCCCGGGCGCAAATGAAAAAATAGATTTTTGTAGCTTAACTAGGTGAATATGAAGTATTTCTTGATTTAGTACGGGAATTAAGGGCCAATCTTGCACAAATCGTATAATGTTTCTATAGTTTGAGAGATATTTTACAAGAATTCGACTATATTTATTAGATCTATTATCTCAAAGGCGTATTCTTTTTGGTCGAATGTGTGCCCTAGGACTAGTAAAATCGGCTCTACATGACATTGAGTCCTTAGTTGACGGGTTTATGGAAAAGAATTGACTTATTCAGTTTTCCGGGAACGGACTACCTCTAATGCGATATTGCTATTTTTCACACCCTGTATAATAATGACCCAAAGTGATTTTTTTAAGATGCTTGCCTTACGTCTGAAAACACTTAATGTTGTTTGGTTTCGATAAAATCTACCGTTTTTTAGAAAAACCTAACTCGATACTGTTTCATTGATTATGACAGCGATTCGGATATGCTAGCTAGTTCGACCATTTTGAAAATATAATTATTTTTATAGCATATTCCCAATCAATGACACGATCAATCCCTGGATATAAATGTGTGAGTTACTCCACCAAATTTTTTGATTTCAATCACTAACTGTTTGGGGCCTGGCTGAATTTTAAATCGATAGTAGTATTGAAACGAAGCTGTTTATCTCAAAAAAGAGTTAATTTTGCCGAAATCAAACACGGATACATTTTTCGAATAAGTGATCGAGCATTCCAAAAAAATGATTGGATCATTATCATACCTGGTGTTTCAAATTCGACGCTCACCATTGGGATCTCGGATATGGTAAGAGATACGAATTCGGTTAAATGGCAACAACGTTGCGAATTTAGGTAACTAAGACAGTGTCACTTAGAGAGTTCCGAAATTCAGAGTATTGACAAATAAAAAAAAATTCTCAAAATCGTCTTTATCTTTCCCTGAGTTTATTTGCGATAATATTCTCAAATAAAAGGTACATTAACATTGCCACTTTTTCTCCTCTATAATGTGGTATAATTAAAATTTCAATAAAAGGTTCGTCTCTTGTCTTCAGTTATTAAATTAATTTTCTCTTATAGATGCCATATTGTATTTTTGCACAGGTGAATACAGCTTTCAATTCTGAATCCTAAAATGTATAATATCACATATATTGGCATTGACTAACCTTAGTTATTGCAAAAAACTAATATTTTTATAGTTAGCCTTGAGAATTACAGTTTATCCGATTAATTCACAAATGTTTCAATTTCTTATATGCGTTTTAAAGTAAATTCAGATAATTTGTCCATAACAAGCTTTATTTAAGTACTATGGAGGCGCTCTGCATAACGCCTCACCTTAAATGCAAGATGTGCATATCGGTTCAGATATGACAGATATGAAATGTGTTTAAGAAGCTGTAACGTCATCCAGGCATTTACTTATTCCAAAATGTTTAGTTACATAAAATAATGGTGTCATAACGTCATACTGAAATTCTAATAATGCCATCGTATAGATAAGAAAATGTGTCAATGTTAATGTACTTTTTATTTTGGAATCTCATCTCAAATAAAGGAAGGAAAAAACGGTTTTGAGAAAATTTTGTTTCTCTATAATTCCGTAAATACTCAGAATTGCCATTTCCTTTGTTGCCTAAACCCCAATTTTTTCCCATTAACAGTCTTCGTATCTGTTGCCGTTTCCAAAATAGTGAGAGTCCGTCCCGGACAAACAAAACGAGTTAATTGTTTTTCATAACCACCATTATGTGGGGCTTGAACTAGTCACCATGCTTTCAAAATTTCGTTAAACGGTATGGTGTAAAGTGAAGAAAAATAACAGATTTCCAATGGGGAAAATTGTCAGAGACAAAATAGTGTTATTCGATAAAACGATGATGTTTGTTCTAACAGGTATGCAGCTGCAGTTGCTGCCGAAGACAGAGCTGGTGCAGGAGGTGGAGGCAATGGTGTATACATGCTCAATGGTAGTGCATCGGCTCATAGTCATAGAAAAAGTACTGATATGACAAAACTCTGAAATATCGTTGGTCATCGAAGGTAACTATCATTTGACAATAATTTACACCTTAGATGCTATTATCACTGGTAATATCGCTTTCGTTCATCCTGCCTCAAGCGGCTAACCATGGACAGCTGTTTCGTGCTAATTGGCAACTCTCCAGCATGATGTAGGCTTGGTCTCGGGGGACAACAATCCAGTGGAATCTATGACCAGAGTTGTACACTGCAAGTTGTCTGTTGGAGCTTTATGCTAGTTAGCATTGTCAGCCTGATCGCCGAGGCCGCTAGATGCTGCCGATTCTAAAGAGTTGCCAAATAGCATGAAGCAGATATTCTAGTTGAAATCGTTTTGTCCGTTTGTCCCCGATACGCGATCCGCTCACATCTTAACGTGGCATAAAAATGAGATATCCTTGTCTCTGCAGTGTATAACATATAACTTATTTTTTCCGATCAAGCCTGATTATAGTTTCCATAACGTTACACAGCGTTCTGTCAAAAGTTGATATATATTTAGTTAATACATACAGTACCGAGCAAAAGTGGAGAAACTCCTTATTTTTTTAAGATTTTGTTAATCTATTAAAGTAAACTAAACACTTATGTTTTATAATAACTTAATGTAAGATGTAATTCAAAGCCAACATGAAAATAAAAATTCTGATTTAATAAAACTATGCTTACAATTATGATTAGAAAATACAGCGAGCAAAAATAGAGAAACGTAATATACAAAGCAATTGTCGTATACAAAGAAGCTAATACTTGGTTGCATAACCTTAATTTTTGATAACTTTTTCTCATAGAACCAGTTAGGCTATCTATTGTCTTTTTTGGAATAGAATACCAGGCGACTTCGATTGTTTCAAATAGTTCGGCACTATTTTTCTTTTCTGGATGTTCAGTCCGAATTTGTTTTTATGTACTAAATTCCATAGATTCTCTATGGGGTTAAGGTCTGGACTTCGAGCTGGTCACTTCATGACATTAATATTTTGATCTGCAAAAAATGTTTTTATTATTTTCGCTGTATGGGGGTCGTTGTCGTGCTGGAACCGCCAGCGTAGAGGCATGTTTTCTTCTGCGTAAGGTAGCATGGTATCAGTTAATCTTTCCAAGTATTAGTACCGGTCCATAAATCCTTCAATTTTGACGATGGCTCCCATTTGAAGACCACAGAAGCAACCCCATACTTGAACCTTCCCGCCTCCGTGTTTGATTGTGCCCAAAGTGAACTTAGGATCAAATCGCTTGTTTTTAGGACGTCTTAACCATAAAATGCCATCCGATGAAATTAAATTAAATTTACTTTCATCAGAAAATAATACAGAATTCCACCTTGTTTCTCACCAGTTCAAATGATCGTAAGCAAATTGAAGACGGGCGGTCCGATTTTTCTTGGAAATAAGGGGTTTTTTAGATCGTCTCCTTGCTGGTAAATCACTCTCCCTTAAACGTCTTCGAACAATGTGGACACCAATATTTACTTCTTCAAGTTAAGCTTTTATGTGGACAGCAGTAGTAAATGGATTTTTAAGAGCAAGAGTTTCAATTTTCCTATCAATTCTAGGTGAGGTTTTTCGGCGGTCTACCAGTCTCAGGAGGGCTTACTAATGAATTTCTGAGGCGGCACAACTTAATAGTTTTGCAAATTACCGATCGTCTTAAATCCAGCTGTTTGGCTATGGTTGCTTGTTTTACGCCTCATCGATATTCCAAAATAATCTATTCTTTGATTTGCAAATTCAATATAATTTCTCTGGCCATTGTAACGGTTTCACCGTCCGATCGTATTTATTAAACCACTTCTCGATTATCATTTCATTAATCCCATCTCTAGCTTTTTTGCTTGGAAAATTTTCCGCTTGGAGCGCTTGATGCGGAGTTCCTGATCTGCGATCTTCCTCGCGCTTCCTTTTCACTTGAGCCGCCGATCGAACAACGGCTAGAAATTTCTTCTCAGTAGCACAAGGTTATATAGCACCATGTGCTAGAATTTTCTAGAATGTGTGTCCGTATAGGACAAAAATGATTGGGGCCACCCCCTTTCTCTTTCCCTTTCACTTTGCCTAGCCTTGGCCAATATTTTCACCCATGCATGTACCTTGGCAGCGCCATCGCCTTTAACTTCGCCTACAACTGGTTGTGAAGCCACTATATGGAGGTCACCCCTCATAACTGGGACCTCCCCTTCAAGCCCCTGGCCATCCTGGCTTCAGTTGAGTCAAAATGGACCAGCGAAAGATAAGTCGATAGCGGTATAGCAGCGCCAAAGATGTAAAACTTATTTTGTTATTTTTGTAAAATTGTAATGTAATGAAAATGCCTTTTTTTTTGTTAAATAAAATCTGTTAAATTTTTGTGTTCTGTTTGTTCTTCTATCCTCTAGCCATGCCATGGTCGACACACAGCTACACGCCTGTAGATGTCTTCATGCCACCGACTGAGCTACCGGAAGCTAATTGTAACCCCCTTTGTGTGATTGTGCAGAAAAGTTGGAATCTTCATTGCATTCCATCTTTTCTGGACTTTTTGCGGAAAGGAAGCGTTACATAAATTGGCACCCGCAACGTGGGGCTTCGATAGGTGTTTGGCTTTGTCGACAAGTGGTTTGCTAGTGGAAGATTGGCAGACAGAACATAGTTTTCAAAATTCTTTACAATCTTTGGCAGCATTTCTATTTTTAATTGCTTTTGGTACTCAAATTTCTAATTCCTTAATCATTCTTACTTTTTGCTTAATGTTTAAAATTTTTATCAAAAGATTAAAATTTTTCCACCTGTTTATTTCATAGGCATACTATTAACTTTTAAATTGTCTTGTTTAGTAGTCAGCGAGATCATTGCCAGAATTTTTTTTCTCACATACTACTATAGTTTTTATTTACTGCTGGGGACAGTTATAACTTTTTCTCATTGTACTTTTGAGATTGATGATATTTTGATAATTTTTTGTTGTTGAATATTGATAGTCTGGGGACTTTAGGTTTCCCAGCATTTTTGTCGAATATCATCAAACTTTTGATTGAGGTTGTGACTATTGTTGTTGATAGTTTACATATTCTTATATGCTTTTCATTTTTGATCACTAACCTCTTAGTTTTTGAAAGTATTTCTTCATGTGCAGTTTTTTTTATTTCTTGAGACTTTTCATGTATGCATATATAGCCTAATTGTTGGATCTAGCTGATATAGCTCTCATGATGTTTGGTACGTAGGAAATTTACTTTCAAAATTATTTTTGCCTTCCCCAAATGTATTTACTTTTTGAATTTTTGACTGTACTTGAACTTTTGATCATTTGTTTTCATTCTGATGGCAATAATCTACTGACTAGAGTTATCTGGAGTAAATCATTTTGCGATTTATCCATTTTTCTGAATTGTATGATATTGATATTCATAATTTTTCGTATATTTTGGCGGTTTACTTTTTTCAAGTATTGACACTTGGACATAGTACTTTGATACTTACCTTTCTTTTTTTTCAAGAAACAAATGATGTTTTTCTTGACTATATTTTTGCTACTTTTCAATGAGGGGGTGACTCCTAAATCATTTTTACCTATACAAAGACACACATACTCATTTATGATAATTAAACTTCAACTTGTTGTTGAAATAGTATACGTTCCTCAGTAACTATTGTAGTAATTTTGCCTCTTGTTTGGAGCAAAAGTCTTCATAATTTTAATGTTTTATAGTTTTATCTGGCATATTCTTTGGGGGAAATTAGAACATTAGTGTCTGATTTTCCATTGGATTAACAGGACTTGAACGTCTCTGTACTCTTTTAATGTATGTGAGATATAAAATAATTTTTTTTAAGATTCGGCTGCTCCTGTTTTTGTATTGAAACTGTTTGTTTGTATTGTTAGTTTTTTATAGTGTTTTAGATCCTTGTCATTTCTTGACGTATTCAGGTTTTTAACTTTAATTTTTTTCTTTCAAGTGTTTCTTTGAGGTTTATTTCTCAATCATGGTTCAGTCTAGACTAAGCCCAAATGACTTATTAAGTCATGAACTCCACTACGAGATTCATATCAGAGGTTTGGAAGTCCCTAATACCGTGGAGGATAAACGTAAAGTTTTACGTGGCTTATTAGCACAGGAATTTCAAGGGCGTAGTTTCTCAGAAACTTCTGTGACTATTCCTTTTGATGAGGATGAGACTGAGATAAGACTCTCATTCAATAAACTCACTGAGATGATCTCTAGATTTACTGGTGCATTTGATTCTGTTGAACATCGCAGAATTTGTGTGCGCTTATTGCATCTATCTGGTAGGATAGATCGAATGTCTCCTACTTGTGATGAGGAGATAAGTACAAAATCTAGATTAAAGACACAACTTGTTGTGTGTGAATCGGATCTTTTAGAGAAGCTTGAGATGCCATCTGCTCAATCATCTCCTCCATCAGTTTCATCTCGTCCTATTCCATTAGCATCAAATCCGCCTGTGACTGTTGCTAATCCTCAAGTATTTCCTCCAGTACATACACAGCCACTCTCTCCTATAAATTTTGCTCCACATAAAAAGATACCAGTTTTCAAATGGGGAATCAAAAAATTTTCTGGAAATAGCTCAGTTATTGAATTTCTAGAAATTGTCGAATCTCTAATGTCTTCCCGTGGTTGCAATGAGATGGATCTCTTTGCATCTGCAGGTGATCTCTTTGAAGATGTAGCCTGGACATGGTGGCATAATGGCCATCTAAGAAATAGCTTTCATGATTGGCAGGACTTGATTAAACAACTCAAGGATGCTTTCCTACGTGACAATTATGATATGAACCTAATTGATGAGATTCGTAGACGCAAACAAGGTCAGCATGAACATGTTACGATATTCATTTCGTTCATGGAATCTCAATTCAATAGATTAACCTACAATACATTTACAGAAAGGGACATGGTCAATATTGTCCGTAGAAATTTATTGCCTGACTTCATAAAGTCACTTGCTCTTCATGAAATTTCCACTTTTCCTGAACTAACATCACTTTGTAGGAAATTAGAGGATTCCTTCTTGACTTGT